TTACGTGAAGGTACTGTAATTAATTTTTGTATTGGTTATACTCCATATGGTATTTAGAAATAAATTTAATGAAAATGAAAAAATATTATTATTACAATTATTTACTTATTTTTAATGTTGCTCAAAAAGTGTACAGTTTATACGTATGGGCTGACAAATCTTCTTCTTTGATGACCATTAATTAAAGACACATCATAAGTTGCATTAAATTTATTTGAATCAGAATCGGTCCACCATCATACATGCTGCCTTTCTTCGCTTCCATAGTTTTACTGAGATTTGTAATCTAACTTTGTTCAAATTAAACATCGCGTATGTTACACAAGGGTAACAACATTAGGTAATGAACAATCATATTTAACACAAGAAATAATTAACTATTAGACAAAATAATCCAGAATCCATTGAATAGTTACATAGCACTCCACTACAACAAGCAAACAAAAGATACAGTCACATGGAACTATATTTATCCCGTTTAATTTTAAAAACGAACAGACGGTAACGGGAGAGAGATACATTTCTACGTTTAGTCGTTTGCACTAAATAAAAATAAAACCATGTTCAGTAATGCTTAAAGACAAGAAATAACAAACGCGTAAAGATATATAAATTCCAGTAGAACAAACGACATACATAATTAGTATGATATGAAGAAGAAAATCCCAATCAATAAGGACCGTTGGCAAACTATAATTTATATTTTTCAATTTTATTAATACAGTAATAACACTTATCGGCACTAATATAAAGCGTTAAGGTCGGAGGTTTCCTTCGAGGATAGCGCGACTCAAAATTTTCCAATCACTTGAATACATGCAAGTGTTCGTGAGCGGAGTGTTTAAACACAGACGATAGACTGTGACGTGAATAATGTTTTTTCTCCTAAAAGCCTAGTTACGCCGGCACAAGTAGAAATGTAAATATTTGGCTGTTCTAGCCTCGAGGTTTTGTAAGAATTCGGTTGTATTTTTTTATGTTTGTTACCGTAACTCCTTAATGCATGAACAGATATTTAAAATTCTTCTTGTATCGAGTTCGGTTTAGCTCCCGCGTGGTCTCATAATAATTTCATTGTTATTAGATCTTTGGCCCCGGAGATACATCAGGGAACTCCTCATGATCAAATAGAAAATATAGTCAGAATGAGTATAAATGTTATGTTCGTTGTTGCCCATTGCATCATGTATGAAGCATGGACTTCCGTTTTTTTTTAAAAACTGTACATACTCATATACTTTATTAGTTACACAAATGTGTTATTTAAGACAATTATTGATAGAAACATAATATTGTTCTCTACGCGTTTCTATTAATGGCATATATTAGAATTGTAAATAATTATTTATTTAACTAAAACTTATTTGTCTATTTTGTATCACATGAATATAAAAAAATCGATGTATCCCATTGGCGTAAAACATGCGAAGAGCTGAAAAAAAAAATAGACGCTTCTTGGTTCTTGGCGGGTCACCTTTCAACGACTTATTCTTTGAGTAAAATTCAAAGGAGAGCTTCAAAGCTTTCATTTTAAGAAAACCCTTAAGAAGTTCTTAAGTCGAGTTGTATCAAATTTCGAACAATGCGAGCAAAAAGGCGAAAACCATCTCCACGTTCTTGACATTTCACCATTAAAATAATTACTCTTTTCCGCGTATACGCACGTGTAAAATTTTACGTTTGTAACGGAATTCATATTAAATATGTACATCCCGTAGAAAATTTTAATATCTATTTATCGGGAGAGAGTAATACATTTCTATTAACAATAAATTTTTAAGTGAAGTAAATGAAGAAATGTTGTAGTAATGTATTTCATTAAACACTATTCAACTTAAAACATATATCCAAAAAGCTATTTAATATTTTTGATTAATGACTGTTTGACATTTGAAAAGAAATCATAATAGGTAATTGACGATTAAGATTAAAGAAGAACAAGTTTCCTTGCATTTTTGTTAACATCATTATTCTAAGATTTTTGTGATGCACAGATTTATATAGTGTATGGAAGTTATTATGCTTTACGGCATTTACAGTTGACTATACTGCATATAACTGTACATTGTAATATAACATCAGATTGTAATTTAAATCAGCCGAACACCACTAAAATTCCTGGTCCTACCCGTTTATGTTGCGATTGATAATTATTACAAGACGAACACACGAAACGAAATGAAAAAAAAAAAACGTATGACAGGAATGCAAAGGAAATAAAAAGACTGTCTCACCAGACCGGGAATAAAATAAAATTGATGAATCTTTTGATTTGCGATTCTTAGTACGACCTTCACTTCTCTGTCAGTGAGAGATTAAAGATAAAATAATTGTAAATGGTGCTGTTTTACGGATTTTATCTTGTTTAATTTGTTTTTCCCCACGGACATTTTACATTATCTGTGACCTGTAAATTTTACGAAAAGTCTGAATGTAAAAACTAACTAAACTCGATAAACAACGTGAACAGATTCATTTCCAATGCGTGGTATTTGTATTAATCTAAAATGTGCTGTCCCTATTAGCGGATGTTAAGATGATTATAAGTGTTAAGGCCCATTTACACGATGCCATTTTCTTGTACATACAAGAGCAATAATTGAATGCAACAAATTGCGCGCAATAATTGTTAAGACCATTTGTTGTTTAGACCATGCAACTCATTTATTGCTTCAATTTAATTGTATACAACAGGCAAGAACCTGGCACCGTGTAAATGGGCCTTTAGTCTAAATGATTGACAGTACTACCTAGTTCGTTAATAATTACACCCAATCAATTACTTCGTGTGGTTGTCGTATGAAAGGCAATACACTACTAATACGTGTAAGTATTTTGTAAATTTAAATTGGTTCTGTGTACTACTTATTGTGTTAAATTACAATTATTAATGGTTTTATTTCTCAATTAACATTTTGCTTCATATTAATCCACTCTAAACATGTATATGATATTGGTACGTAGTGTAGGTACGATAAATATTTAATAGACGGAATTATGGGCTTTCTTCACGTGGTTCTATGACAACCACAAAATGGAGGCTTCATACATTTATCAAAAACATTTATATGCAATAAATCACTTTATTCTAATAAGATTTTTTTTGTTCGTTCATAGCAGCAAAAATAAGTTTTTAAATGTTGTTAGAATCATTTGATCTGATGAAGAGTTACGAAGTTATGGCGACCTGATGAAAGAAAAATTTTGAAAAGTAATAGTTTATAGAACAGATAAAAAAAATTATTCTTTCTTTTTTTTAAGTCGAAAACAAAAAAGTCAAAGAAATTCTTTGAGTTGTTCCACAGTCCAGTCGACAAAAAATCTTAAAACGCATTAATGATTAGGTATTTTTTGTAAATCAACTATTAATTTGCGATAAAGTATTGGTATTTATTATGAAATTACAAACAGATTCTGACAAATGAGGTAAAGTAAAGTAACAACCTATACATGTCCCACTGCTGGGCAAAGGCCTCCTCTATACAGAGGGTATCAGGGCACAGTCCACCATGCGGCCCCACTGCGGATTGGCGGACTTCACATATCTTCGAAAAATATTTTTTTTGTTATTATTTCGAAAAATGCAGGTTTCCTCACGATGTTTTCCTTCACCGCGGAGCACGTGATAAGTTAGCACTTAAAGTTAAAAACTTCATTGGTGCCGTACCGGGGATCGAACTCAGGTTGCTCGAGTATATTGAATTAAAGGCGAGCGCCCGGACACTGAGCTATCACAAATGAGGTATACATCAATATTTCAGAGGGCTAAAGACTCGAAATTTCTCTAATCGATCGGATTACTTATAAAACCAAAACAATCACAGCAACTTGTATAGCTGACTTTAATTTTAATGAAAAAAAAAAACATTCTTGTAGAGCGTTGGTTACTTACTTTTTGAAAGAACTCTCGAAAAACTTCTAGAAAAGGTAGCTTGACTAAGAAAGAAGGGCCTTGGCTTCATAGAAGACAAGCGGAAAATAGAATCATTTATACAAATGCGTTTCATTCCTTGAGTGAGGTACCTAAAGGCCCACAGTCTATGGTTGGCAAAACGCTTATAAGGTCTCTCGTATGGTGTCTATGGGCGGCGGTCCTAACCTATAACAATTGGGTCAAAGAGAATGTAATCACTACGTTTACGTTTTTGAATTGGGTGAGAACCGCTGTAGTTGTTGGCAACATACTTCACAGTCCCAATTGAATTAAATATAATGTTGTTACGTATAAAATATAGATGATGCTGTTTATTACATTATTACTAGTCGTAAGCAAATGAGGTTGATTTTTATCATTAACCAATGTAACATGATATTTAAAAGTCTCTATTGAATTGTATTTTATAACTTAGTTCTAGTCTCTGCACTAAAAATTAAACTTAAGATTCGAACCTGAGCCTTCCGGAGTACACGACCAGACGCTATAACTACTATGCTCAGCGGTCGACATACCGCGCGAATTTGCAAAATTCCTTTTTGTTCGAAAAGGGTTTATTGCGAAACGGTCCCATTTAAATTTCATATAGATCCGATTATGAGTTTTGGAGATAGACAACGGAACTCTTCAAAAAAATGACAGCCAATGAAATTATGCATTGTTTTGTGCAATCACATAATATAACATCACGTCTGTACACTCTAACACGATACGATACACAGCAGATTACGATATTTAGTACAGCTGAAAACGAAAACAGCGTATTTATTATACAATTAATACGCTGTTTTCGCGTTCTCTGCTATCATTTGTGCATTGTAAGCGTCTACTTGTCTGACAGTTGGATAAAAATTCCAACTGCAACTTTAAAATATTCCTTCACGTTATATAGGTTAGCTTTGATTATATTATATTTAGAATTAATATAAACTTTTTTTAGTGTTAATAGAGATTTCTGAAGTCGGTTCATTTTTTTAAAAGAAAAATCTTTTATGAGTACGGCTTGTTAATAGTTGTTACGATTATCGTAAGGCAAAAAAATCAGATTTGTATTATCTGGTAACAGGTGCCCTTAAAGAGCATTGCAACAAGGAAGAGGATCTGCTGAAAAGGTGCTCTATGGCGTTACCAGTACTCAGTTCGTCGGAGATACCAATCGCGCTTACAAGGGAGGAATTGGACAAAAGTTGCATGTAAGTTTATTTTCAACCGACTTAAAAAACGGAGGTTCTCAATTCGAATGTATTTTTTTCATGTTTGTTTCCTCGGAGCTTTCGACTGAGTGAAGCGATTTTGATGATTCTTTTTTTATTTGAAAGCTGGTGCTTCCCCTGTGGTCCCATGTTAATTTGGGCACCGGAGATACGAAGGGAACTCCTGAAAGTCAATTATAAAATTAATAGAGAGCGAGATATTTGAAGTCTGTTTTGTTTTTCGTTCATAAAAATAATGATTTATTAATTTAGTTAAGTTCCGATTGATATAATAAAGAAGTCATAGGGCTATTTTATATTTTGTTATGGGGTTCGATCCGTCACATTAATTGGCTGAACATCGGGCCTTACCACAGAAAAGACACATGCATATTTTTAATTCGTAATAAACTATAGAAATAGATACTGTAAAGGTATAGAACGCTTAGGATTTCCAGCGATAGGTAAAGTTTACTGATTTACCCTTAAACTATATTAATAAGTTGGGAGTTTGTGACATGTGCAGTAAGTATTATTTAATAATAATAATACTAGGAAGAAACAATTTCCCGTTAGATATCTAATAGCTATTTGCGGGAAGTGCGACAGTCTATTAGAAGTGCGGCGTAAATAAGTAAGGAGTAACCTTGGTCTACCCACATAAATGTTAGGAACTAACTGCAACCCACCGGCTGTTGTGGATATCTTTTTACCTTCGTAATTGTCGTTTACTACCTTTTATTAAAAAAAAAAACAGTAATCTTCATCCCAACACATATGTAAATTAAACATAAGCACATTTGCTACGTAGAAATTAGTTTGAATTAGCATCATAAATAGTCGCTCTAAGCGTAAGAAAATCATGCGTGTGACATTTCGTACGTAATTTTGTTTTCATTTTGTTGCCAAATGTTCCATCTTCCTAATACTATAATTAACTGACGTAGGAGTGATGTCGTATCTCAAAATTTGCACACGTATAATCAAAACAAATCCGAACAACAATGAAAGCAGTGGAATAAATCTGTTAACGGAAGAAGCTGTTACAATTGTTATTTACCATAGTCTAATTCTTAATTAATAATTATATACGTACAGTGATTGAATTTTAAAATTTAAAACATATTAACAATCATTGTTTAAGTTTCAATTGTTCCGAAATATGAAATGAGGCTTAAATTAATAACTTTTTAATCGTAAAAGAAGAAAATATTTCGCTACATTGAAACTAGTGGCTGAAAAGAGTTCTTCTTTCAAATTTAAAAGGAGTTAGTTTATAAATTTTAAAGTAAGTGGCTGGCGCGATGTTAATTCATTTAATGGTTGGAAACTTAGCATAAACTGTGGAGTTGGTTTAAATTTAAAGAGTTTACTGGGAAAGTCTATGGCAGTATCTCACTGGGACCTGTAGCGAAGTATTACTAACGGTTAGCTTGTCTTAATTTACCGCCCTTGTTTGCGGCAAACACCAGCGTGGAACTACATAGTTGTCCAACTCCACAACTATGGTCGGTGCTTGATTGAAGCGCGGAATGGCCAATGAGACAAGTTTCGATGACTAACTTGACTAACTGAGTGACATTTCAACTCGGCCGAGTTTCGCGAAGCGGTGATCCGTAACGGGACGTAATCGGAAAACATTTCACTTTCAAGCTAATTAATTTCAAGCGAACAACAATAATGTTTGTCTCTTTTTTGTCCGTCGGTTAAGCTTTGCCACGACTAAATTTTGCGAGTTTAGTGCTGATAATGTTATTACTTATATTATTATTATTCAGATATTACAAATCAATTTTCTCCAAACTTTTCAGTACCCGTCACATGATGATAGTATTACTGTTGTTTATTTCGTTGCCTAGAAGAATTATTCACTTGTATTTTTCACATGTTACTTGATCTTCAACGAACGTCTTTTAACGAATGGTTTTGCGTTCATTGCGTACCGTTCTTCGTGGTGACGATGCATTGACTCCGGGCTATCGTTCCAGCGAGCTCCGCGCCGGCATCAAGTGCATAGACAACTACACAGAGGTGTGCATGGACAAAAACGAGCAGCTGGTGTTCAGGAGGATATACGCCGGGATAACGGACGTGGTGCAGGAGCTGTGCACGCGCGGCAAGTACCAGGACGAGTACCTGAGGCACGCGGACTGCGTAAAGAACGTCCGCTCCGAATACGAGGTGTGCAGCAAGAGGTACGAGGTGACCCTCACAACGATCGGCAGCCACCAGAGCAACGACCAGTACCGCACGGACCAGACGGACGTGGACAGCCGTGATCACCACTTGCGGACGGTCTGCTGGTGAGTTTTGTCACTCGGTAATAAACGTTTGTTTAGTCAATGATGTTTATTAATGTAGATGACGCATGTTTTTTTTTTTAAACATTGCCCTCACTTTAGGATTACATTTATCCTGTGTTGTAAGGACGTTTTTACAAACATACATTTCACGTGGACAAACACCCAGATGCGAAACAACTATCTGTGGGTCGCACAAATAGTTGTCCCGTGTGGGAATCGAACCCACGACCCCCGACGCCTAAGCCAATACCTTGGCAACTGCGCAACGAAGTCATCAAGTAATAAAGTGACAAATTCAAATATCTTTATTTAACACCAGTTTTCCGCCCGCGCCTCTGGCCGCATGTACTATATTTTATATAGTGCTTAAAAAGTACCTACGGATTCCTTCGTGCTCGAGTCCGACACGTACTTGACCGATTTTATTAACTTTATATAAACTCACAATCATCATAATTTTATTGACCATAATATATAATTAACTATAGTTTCATCCAACACAACTGTAGCTATTATATAGCATTTTATCGCACAATGTGGTTCTTTAAGTTGATATAACTTTTATTGTTCCGATTTTTATAAACCTAACGCTAAAAATGTTAAGTGAAGCTTACTACAATGCATTAGTGAAAATTGCACCCCAATCAGTTGGGCCGTATCTGAGATTAGCGCGCACAAACGCACAGACAAATAGATAAGCAGATAAACAGACAAAAATTTTAACAATCATTGTTTTGGATTCTACTGCATAAAGTCCTAATAATAGTTTTTCTCAAATATCTTCCATGGACAGACAACGATCAGTTTTATTATATGTATAGACAGGGGCGTTACACTCACTTCTTGATTGTGAAAACGGATGGAGTCTTCATATATATTTTCGAAGTATATTTTTTTATTATTTCGAAAATATACAGGATATATGCATTCATTCTGCGATAAAATTAAAATTAAAATCAAAGTTAATAAACTACGTCGGAACATGTAAGCAAGCGTATTTCATAATTACGTTCTGCCCTTTGCAAAAGCCAGAGCTGTTTCCTTTCAAAGTTATTAACAACCGTTCCGAGAAAACAAATATATTTATGAAATATGATATTTTCAATCAAGTCGTTCAAAGGTTACGAAATCGTAATGGTATGTTCTTTTCAAGAAAATATATTTCTGTAAAAATATCTGTTGAAAGCAAATACAGAACACGATAATGGGTTGATAATATTGAGTCGAATTGAAAATGAAGAACGTTGTCTTGTGGCGAGCGAATAAGAACTAAATCAACTAACACTTACATTTACTTAATTCTACTAATTAAATTAATAAAATAATATCTTCCAATATCAATATTAGTTAGTTACCGATAAAATCGAGCTTAAATTGAATGTAATGTATTGCACTGAGGGATCATCTGTAATGAAAACTGTATTGAGTTTTGATAAATCGGGCAATGTTAGAATCTCTTATTGGACATTTGCTGAGTTTCTTTCGCCGGTTCTTCTCAGTACAGTGGCTTTCTTTTCCGAACCGGTGGTAGTGTCTTGACTATCAATAAGTGAGTGTAATGCTCCATGTTGAATAAATACATTTGATTTTGATTTTTTGATTTTGATTGAAAAGGTACGTTATTCGCCTGTGGAGACACATTTGTGATCACATTTTTTTTAAAACGTTATACTTATAACATTAACTGTTTGGACCTATATCTATCTTTTTAAAGGTACTTCCTTAGGCATGATTTGAGCATTTTTCCGACATTAGATTATAAAAAAACTCGCTTTTCGCACACGGCTTCGCTCCTTCGCTCTTAAATACATCTTTCTTTAAGCTTTCAACCCTTTACAACACTTTTTTCTAATTAAAAAATGTCATTTCTCAGGCTCTAGACTATCTGTGTACCAAATTTCATTTAAATCGGTTCAGTAGTTTTGGCGTGAAAGCGAGACTGACAGACAGAGTTACTTTCGTATTTATAATATTAGTATGGATGGTCGCCGACAAGGTACTATATCATAGAACATTAAGGCGACAGTTTTTCTAAAAATGAATATGGCTATATTCTACATCCGCTCGCATCTTGGTGGATTGGATTTTTATTACGCCCCAAATTCATTCGGACATTATTCCAGAGCCATTAGCACTATCGTTCCTAATCACTAGACACCTTAGGTAGCAATCATCCCGCTCCTTTAAATTTTTTACACATTTCCACCGCTAAGCACTGTTTAAAATTCAAACCGAATCCTACTGGATTACGGGTCGCACTTAACGATTACTCAGAAAATTTATTGACATCGTCGTCAGCCCTTTTACATTATTACAGAAACAGTTCTAATGACGTGGATCGACTGTAGCTTACCTTCCTGTTAAATTGTGCAATATTAAACACATTTAACATATACCATGTTTGTATTCGCACATGATTATAAGTACTAGTTAGTAGTCGCCTAGTGGTCGAAATTCGATCAATATTAATTATACATGGTACTGTGTGTAAAGTTTATTTTTATTGATTTAATGTAATATTTATGCATAAATAAAAAAATGTATTAGCATCCTCTATATAAACTATAATTGTGGGAAGTTTCATATTCCTCCGTCCGCGCAATTTTCGTAAAAAGCGGTACAAAGTTTTTGCTTCACGTGTTAATATATAGATACTATTCGTTTTTATGTGCAGCCTTTTTTAAAAGTTTTATGCGGTTTAAATTTAAGGTTTGACGCGTACTTGTTTATTATAGTATTGTCTCGTAGTACTTGGTGATGTTCTTTATTAACTTATTAACCTGCCGCGATTTCTCCTCACGCCACTGGTAGAGAATGTCAATAGGCATTAAGTCAAATCTTTGCAACCATTTTTAAGGTTTAGTTTTAAGGTAAGGTTTTCCAATAACGAATAAATAAATGAATAAACAATCCGTCCAGACATCGAGGCATGAAGAGTGAGAGATCTGACTTTTGCTTAATTAAGTTCTGATATAAAGCAGCTCAGTTGCCTCAACTTCGACCTTTGTTCATAAAATAGCCTTAAACATAATAAATCTTTGTCTGTTTGTTTACAGTTCGTTTCAGGAGTACCTTCTGTGTTCGGAGCAGACAGTGCAACGATCGTGCGGCGATGAAGCGGCCATGTTCACTAGTGCCTTTCTCAAAAGGATGGCCTACAACATCATTAATGTAATTCGCACATGACTTTTACCATTACATTGTATTCAACCTTTTTAAATATTAATTTCGGCCTCCTTATCTCTTAAACTTCTTGCTAAAAATTATATTTATCCCTTACAATTTTATATACTTTAGTATATGTAATTTAATTTAGATTCACATCACAAAGTTCTATATAAGGTTGTATATTTTATTCAATGCATGTTAACAAGATAATTTGGCTAAAACATTGTTGCAAACTGACTTGAAGAGTTTGCAGTCATGAATATTAATATTTCAACTTGATTGAATAGATATAAAACGATCGTAAGCGAAGACATGTTTACATAAATCTTGGTGAATTGAGCTATAATATAGCTGAATTGTGCATTTAATTATTTCCTGTTGTCAATTGTTTTACAGAACTTCTGTCTTGAATATCGAGGCCAGGAATGCGGGTTGCCAGGCAAAGCGACGCGTACTCAACAAACAGCTGCTTTGGTTGGTGTTGCAATTTTAGCCCAATTACCATTTTTAAGTGGAAATCTAGTTCCGGCGTAAGCCCTTATATACGCGCCGAAGAAAATGGAAAATTTTTAACTCCAAGGCGGAATCGTCCTCACTTCGGGCTGCCTAGAGAGAACTGTAGCGATTCGTGTATCTTGTAAACTGTAAATACTTAATGATGTTAGGTATATTGTAATAGTTCCTTGGATAATGTGAATCTGTTACTGTTATTAATGCGTATTAGTAGATTATCAAAGTCTTTCAAGTTCCATGCCAATCGTGATATTGTAGAGACTAGATGCTGTTCTGTAATAATCAATACATTAATAATGAATATTAACAATTTTGATGACTCTATGTTCATGAAAGTAAATTTTAAAAAAAGTTTATTCGATCTACAAACATTTAGAATTATGTTATTTTAGTTACAAGACTTACATATATTTTAAGACTTATTTGAAACATATGTTATTGAAAATATAAATTATAAAAGCTTCATAATTTTAAATGATGATTTTTAATGTTATCTTGTTTTTTAATATTATAAATGAATAATTTAAAGTATTATCATATTTCGCATTACTATTTTGTCTACTATAAGTTAAGCTCAGAACGTCCTGTGATATTTTGTTTTTTTACACATTTGTGTTGCTTCATCATATTTGTTTCTAGTTATGAATGTAATTTATTTAAGACCTTCTTTTCAGAAACTTCCGATTTTATACTTTCTTATTATGTTTTTAATAATAAAGGAATCCCGTAATTAACGTAAATTGAAATGCTGTACCCGCATAAGTTGTAATCATAGACTTGCTTTTGATTATTCTGATCCATTCTGCTGACCCATTTTGTGCAAATAGTACACTAATGTTTCTTTCACTTAGTACACTAATGTTTCTTTATATACATTTAATCTTGTATACTTTTGATTATAGGGATTTGCAAACTATTAATAGGATAAGCAAATTTCGTCCACATATCACGGTTTGTATAGTAAGTAGTTATTTTTCCATGTACATAGGTGTCCATAACTTAAATGTAAAGATATATTATTCACTGTGAAACGGTATTTAATGTAACCGACTATAAAGTTATTAATACAAGAATCATTTAACTACTTAATATTGTATTGTAATAGTTATTTATGAATAATATTTTTTTTTGTATGATATTTTATTTAATCAATGATCCCTTCCTTTTAAGTCGAGTCGTTTGTAAACGTAATGTATATTGTCACAAAGATAAATAAGTTTAAAACCGAAATCTTCTCGATCCACCTAAACTGTGAATAAATCTATGATTGATTTGCGCGTCATTGTATTGAAATTCGGTTTTGTTTTCATTCAAGACTTCGGGATACAATATACAATTTATGCATACCTGTTTCAAATATTCACGATTATTTCGATTCATACGAGATTACCCTTACTAAGTCATATATTAAAATACGTTTATTGAGCAGTTAAAGTCCTGATTACATTGTAAAAATTTAATAAACAAAATTTTATTCAACTACACTCCATATTTAAAAATAAATGAAATTTGAAATAGTGAACATTTGTATTTTCGAATTTAATAAATATTTTTGCGGCCAGCATTCAAAATTCAAAACCTTTCAATATGTTTTAAAACTTGTTTCCCAACTAGTCAACGTTTTAGTCGATATTTAATTATAGAGTTTAAAAGACGACTGTTGTTAAAAAAAATATGTAATAAAATATTTTTTTTTAATATACTCTTTGGCGTGATAAAAAATAAAAGGAGCCCGATCACCTTGGCATTTACCTTTCTAAATGTACTTTTCGAATACCTCAAGTTTTTTAAGTTGCGTGGTGTCATACAACTAGAGCTTTTGTTCGGTGATCCATTGGACCTAGCTTCAATCAAAGTATCTATAAACAGGGCTACTCTCCTAATAGATCCCATCCTCGTCGTGTATAGAGAAGTACAATGACATTTCTCACTTTAATAATGTTTTATTAATATAAACTCTCCATTCGTTCATTATAAGATGCAAAGGAGTGCTATTCCAGCGTCATTTTTCTGTCTGAATATGAATCGAGTGTGTTTAAATAAATGGGTTCGTCGAGCTAAAATATCTTTTTAAAAATATTTTAGTGCATTACATTCTCCCATATATTAATATATAATATTTGTTTTTAAATTTTCCATAATATTTTAGCAATATAATTATGTTACACATATTTGAGAAATTGTTTACATATTTACAAACCAATAAGTTCATGTTCATAGTTAACCGCAATTAATTACCTTCAGGGAAGTACAAGCAGTGCGAGTTATGAACTGAGTAATTAATTATTGGTTTATGGCCTGTTGTATGTATTAATAATCTTTAATTACTATTTATTATCACCCGACGATAATGTAATATTTAAAGTGCTTTATTGCTATTGTTATACTGCATTAATAATACGAACGTAGCAAATCGATGTCTTTATAGTTAAACAAAAAAAAGATAACTTATATATGTTTTACGTTTTAATGGTTGATTTTTAGGGCGTTATCAAACCATTATTTGGTGTATTTGTGCAGTATTCATTGGATACACCTGAAAATTTCCAACACTAAGAACGGGGCTTGACTATCTTATTCTGATACAAAACATGTTTGACAAAGGATTGCTTAATAAACTCCAAAATGAGTCAACAGCTCAAGGCTACTTTGTAGTTGGATTAAATCATACGCACGAAAGGAGATCATGCTTAAAAAAACTTAGGAACCATTGAGGTTGTGTTAAAAGAATGTTAAAACTTAACAGACGGTTATATCGCGGAGAAGCGCGTTTAAGAGTAAAAAGTTGGAAGTAGAATTATAATTCAATTATTCACATCTCGCCGACTTTTTTCTATTCTTGGAACTAAAGTTGGAGCGTTTACGAGATGTCGGCGTCGGCACCGTAGAAACTTTCGACGGAGCGTTGTACGCACTTAGCTCGTCTTATTTTACTGCCCTGTTTGCGGTAAATAGCAATTTGGAACTAGTTGTTTGCTGTGTGAATTTGTTGGGTGTTTGATTGAAGCACTAAATGATTAATGAAGCAAGTGTGAATGATGAAGTAACGAAGTGATTTAAAAGACTAAAGAATGAAAAAAAAAAAAAAAAAAATATATGTTACGTATCCACACTCGGGTAGGGACGGAATGTACTCTAAAACATTTTATTCAGAGAAGTGCACGAATGGGCACTTTCGTCCGGGTACGTACCGTGACCTAAAACAAGACCAGCGGGAAGTGGAAGTGTTATACTTCTGCGTTTCCTTTGGTGAGTGAGGTGGGAGGTAGCATCTGCAACTCTACGGATGTTGCAAATGTCAATTGGCGACGATTAATACTTAATAGCAGGTTATCCGCCAGCTTGTTTTCCAATTTCACATATAATAAAAAAAACTGTCTAACTCAATGTAATTCAATATATAAAATAATGTACTCAAGGCGGACGTAGCTTCCTCCGTTTTGAAGGGAAACTATACTTAACTTTGTGTTTTTGAATTTTCTGTCGGACTATGCCACGCCACGTCGATCTGTCCTCGTTGGCGTGAATTTGCTCATATATGGTGGTATTCATGCGAATTTGGTTTTAACATCGCATGGCCATAACTTAACAATAGACAATAAAGTTAAGTTAAACATTATGAAAGCCTTATGGTTTTGCAACAACAACTCTTTGTCTACGAAATTTTGTTCTCGCACCTGAATGGGAGGAGCATATAAAACAATACCAGAATTAATTTCTTAATACAAAAAACTCTGAAAGACTTCTGGTCCTTGGTGTTTGCCATGAATATCTGTAAATCTGTAAATATCTGTAAATCTGTGGACTTCAAGAGAAACGAAGTTTTACCCTGTCACCATTGTATTAAAATAGTCAAATATCTAGAGGTTAAGTTAACGCCAACATGTTATTCTGTACTCCAATAAACAAAGCCGCGTTTGTTCTTGGCCGACCTTATTATCTCACGAATATATCCTTAGGCATAAGCATAAGCTCCTATTTTAGAAGGCTTGAATACGACATATGTACATATTGTCCAACGCTTGTATATCTTCTGCGTACATTCCCCAATTAACCCTTAAGAAACTTTGCGTATTGCAAAATAAATTCATCTGCATTTCAACCGATGATGATATCAAAGAAGTGTCGATCTGCACACCTATTGCAGGCTTCCAACGTTACGCGAACAATTTAGAGAAATAATGAAATAACTCTTTAAGATGCTTGCGGCATTTACCACTCGACACTAGGTACTGTTGGTAAAGCTTGCATTGTTTGCCAGGAACTCTTTCCTGATTAAAATGTCATTTAAGATATATACAAAGGACGATAGTGATGATTACCTACACTAATATTTCTTTTGGGTATCGCGTCCCCGTTCCAATCTTTCCTTATTGATTTATCGATAATTCTGCATGTTTATAAAATTAAAAAGAGAGTCAAAACAGATGTCACGCTCATTACAAAATATCGTTTTTTAAAATTACATTCGTATTCGTTAATCTAATAAGGGTAATACTTTTTTAATCTTTAAGGGTTTAGATATGGTTATTAATGTATAGTTATTAGTCAAACACGGAAGCTCAATACTTCGGCAAAATTAACGCCATGCTCTGAGTGTGTCAAGTTCGCCATTGACAAGTTCATGTCTGGCTACATTAAATATGTCAATATTATAACACTTTAATTAAAGTCATAAAATTTACCATGAAAATCTGTTTAGCTACTCGTCAGAGACCACTGTATGTAAATTTGTATTAATTTTTATATAAATAAGTTTTAACTGAAAATTGACTGTATATTGCCAAAAGAGTATTATCCAGTGCCTGGGTGTTTACATCTATAATATGTATTTATTTACAAAATAAGTATGTTTATCAATTATCTAGTATCCGTAGTAAGTACCTAGTGCTTAGTTTTGAATAGATAACGCTGTGTAAAAATATGTCCTGAAGAATATTTATTTATTTTAGATGCCTCACTCGATCGTCCACATATTGGGTACATATTTGGTTCCTTACTGAGAAAGTGATGTATCA